AACCCTAAACCCTAAACTTCATGGGGTGAGGGGTCCTTGGGTGAAAGGGGGCTGCTCTTTTGAGAAAAGTCCGGGTGAGAACATTATGTTTCTCTTTGAGGTGGTAGTCTTTTGAACTTTGTATTACACAACTGATCTCGTTGGGTCCAACCAAAAGCAAAACACGACATACTCAATCCCAAGCCCAGACTATGCTGCCCTACCTCTAATTTTCCTATAACCATCTCTCAGAGAGTATTCAATCTCTAAACCGCAAACCCGAAGCCTACTCAGTATTCCCTTGCTACAGGTGGAGCTGGACGCGGCGAAGAAGGATCAGTTTGGGCTCATCGAGCTTGGCGACGAGGGGAAGGAGGGGAAGGGAGCACGATTCAGGGTTCAATCCCTATATATATATATATATGTATTTGATAGAATAAGGCTTGTATATATAAATATATATACATATATATACATATATATATATACATATCACCCCTCTCGAACCCTTATAAAACCTTCCAACATCCCTAGATAATCCCTGAACATTTTTACGCAATCCCTATGTTCCCTATATAATCCCTGTATCACCCCCATGAACCTGAAATCCAGGAAGGCGATGAGGATGATGAAGATGAAGAGGAGGGCGACGACCTCGTTCAGGAGAGACTTTTGGCCGTGGCTTTGTTTGGGGTTTAGGGTTTAGGGTGTTTGGTCAGTGACCACAAGGGATAATGGCTATAGTTGAGTCTTTATATATTCTGTTCTACCACTGTTATGGGGGATAGTGTTTGTATTAGGGGCTTGATATACTGTGGGGCCAAACCCAAGGTATAGGGATGAGAGAATCGTTGCGATCTAATACGAGCAGTGCAATCAGGCGCTTGACCTGCTCTGTTCCAGGTCGTCACCTACACAGGGATTTCAAAAAAGTACGGCTGAAGCCATAGGACCTTGACACGTTTTTGGGGTTGCTGTGCTCAAGATACTTGACCCTGTCATCTTTGTACCCTCGACTCAATATCCTACACCTCAAGCTTTCAGTCCTTAACCCTCAACCAAAAGACGTAAACCCTGAAATGCGGGGAGCAAGGTCTATGGCCCCCAAGAGATTCTGGCCTTGTATAAATTTTAGGGTTTAGGGTTTAGGGTTATAGATCTATGCAGCAACATTCTGGGCGGGATGGGCAAGGGGTCCATCATCTCGTTCACGGGCCATAACACGAAGTGTCCTAAACCCTATAGTCCGTCTTCAGTAGATAGAATATGGCTTTGGTATGTTTTAATAGGATCCCCATATTCCCCAGATTCTATCTACTTAAGGGGGACTATACACCTTCAAGTCTTAATTCACGCATGGGCCGAGAAGGCACCTCGTGCCATGGTTTTGATCTCCCCATTGCACAGGCACTGTTGCAAGCCCAAACCCTAGTAGTCAACCTTCTCTATGCCAGTCCTTTCTTCGCAGCAGGAGATGTACGTCTTCCTCCACGGGTCGGCTACATATCACAGTCCAGATCTTGGACGCATCGCAGAGAGAAGTTCTGGAATCCATTTAGTTTCGGCATTACACTTGTGTAACCAGTCTTTCTCCCAAAAGCGTGCTGTCCTCTTCAAAAAGAGGACGGCTAAATTTTGGAAGCCCGCAACCCTAAAACCCTTTACAACCCTTTCAACTCCCTTTGAGACAATCCCTCTCTAAGCCCTGCACACCTTAAACCCTAAGCGCGACACCCATGTTAAACCCTAATCCCCAGATCCTAAACCCTAAAGCCCCTAAACCCTGATCCCCTAAACCCTAATCCCCAGATCCTATTACACCCGAAGCCTTCTTAGGCTCGCTGACAGGAGAGCGCAGCTGGCGACACGGCGAGGCTTAAGTATGTAGGAGCAATTAGGGTTTTAGGGTTTAGTTAGGTTGAGGGCTTACATGATATAGGCTGTTTGGAATATGAGAGACCATTGTGGTGTAGGTTGTCTGTAGTATTTCAACCCCTTTTTTTTAACCTTGAGAAAGTCCGCTCTCTCTGGTCCCCATATATACCCTTTGCATCTAGTAGCTTGCGAACCCCCAACTGATACTAGTAAGTGGCCGACGGATGAGATCTTCGCTGTGCAGCTGCGCACCTGTGCTGTTATTCCATGCCTTGCCAGCCTGTGCAAGCAGAGATCAGAACTACTGGGATAAGGAAAGGTGATCAGAGACCTGGGTTCCAAAGGGGGCTTGGCAATCTTCAAGTGGTTGCAAAGGGATGAGGATGAAGCTCAAACTTTAACCCTCTTCAACAGCCCGAAGCCCTAAAGCCTAAGCGCAAGGATCCCCAAGCTCTCTTGCTGCAGGTCATTGGTGAGGGAGCTTTCGCAGGCGCCACAAGGTCTGGCGACCGGTCAATGCAAGTCCTATATCTTGCGTAGCTTCATGATTGATGAACCGTCTGCAACCCTCAAGCCAGGGGACACCGGCCTCAGATGTTCTTTACTTACCCAAATCCGAAACCCTCTATGAGCTCTAAACCCTCAACACTAACTTCGTAGCTTCCCTGCCAGCACTTCATATCCCTATAGGTTTCCCATTAGGAGAGAAGCCTGTTGCAGGCTATATCCAGCGAGCATTGTGGCCGAAAGTGTCTGCTTGATCCAGGCTGCTCCACTTGGTGGTTGAGGGTTACAGTTCCCCTAAAGGAGATAGAATGTGGGGTATATGGGGATCTTCAAAGCCATATTCTATCTACTTGAGGGGGACTATAAGGATGTAGAGTTTAGCATTGGGGTGTAGTGTGGTGGGGATAGGGTTATCCCAATCGCTTCGCGAAGCCTTTCATGTCGCTATCTTCAGCTCCATCGTTTAGATGTATAGCGTGATGTGCTTGCATAATTCTTCGGTGAGGCACCAGTGTGAAAAGAATAGCAACTATGAGAAGACTAGTAGTGACTACAGGAATGACAGCAGCAGGCAAGGGTAAGTGTGTAATACTGATAGCAGCAGTGCAACGGAACAGGGAGCCAGCAATCGCAGGAGTAAGATGGAAGAATTTTGCCAGTTTAGCCTGCTAAGGGTACAAACTCTACTCTACATTGCGGGTCAAAAGGGTCATACAACGAAAACCAATGTCCGAACGTTAGTTTTTTTTTTCGCCCGAATCCGAATACCTGAACCCTGAACCCCATATAGCCATAGCAACACTGTGTACAGAGGCCCCATGTATCGGGTAGTAGATGCGATGCTTGGGGAGTGCCGCATAGTTCTCACCCGTGGGGTTGGCGGGTGGCAGTATGATTGGCCGAAACAAGCAACCCTTAACCTTGAACCCTAAACCAACCCAAAAACCTTAAACCCCTAACCCCGCCCCAAAGCCCCAAAACCCTAAATCCCCAAACCCCTAAACCCCAAACCCAAATCCTAAATAGTAGCTTCCATTTTCTTTTCCATTATCCCCATATAACCCCTATATTACCCTAAATCCTAAACCCTAAACCCCAAACCCTAAACAGAGCTCTGAAATCCGCTCTTCAAGTGTCCCATGCGGAGGTGCTGCGAAGGAAGGAGATCTTCGACGCTATGGCCGAACGGCAGGGCCGTGACAAAGAGCTGCCTGGGGCCTCGGGGGTGGTTAGAGGGGGGAGTATAACCCAAGGGTTTAGGGATTTGGGGGGATTAGGGGTTTGGGGTTTAGGGTTTAGGGATTAGGGTTTAGGGATCAGGGTTTAGGTTTAAGGGTTTAGGGACATTATTCCCCAAGAATGGAGAATCGCATGGAAAAGAACATGGAAAAGGACATGGAATGTAGTGTCATATTACATATCAATACATAGAATATACTGTGATCTGTTTTAATATACCATAATATACTACGATATTCCATTATTCTTTGTTTGGAGTTTCTTTAGGGTTTAGGGTTTCTAGGGTCTAGGGTCTAGGTTTTAGGGTTTCAATATCAACCCGCATTTAGTCCGGTCTCACTGATCCTGTAAGAGCAATTTATGCTGCACGAAATCCCACTAGGTTGCACGAGATCGCATGGTGCAGTCTTCAGTCTTAGCACAAACCAGTCTTGAATAGAGTAAGATTATATTCTCCTTTTGGGGGTATAGTATTTTATATAAGGAATATTATCTTACTAGGTTCAAACACCAAAAATTACACCGCTCACTTGGGAAATACCGACTACATATCTCACCCTTCTCCTTAAACCCTAAACCCTAAACCCTGGGGACCCACCCAGGTCCACCCCAAATTGTGGTTTCGAGGCAGGGTAGCCCGGGTAGTTCCAACATGTCCAGAAGCTGAAGCTCAAAACCCTGACCCAATTTTTTTAAATGGAAATTTCCCAAAATACAGAGACCCCAATATAGACACCAGAATACTATAGTCCTGATTATATTGGGACCCTCAAAAAGGTACCCCTAATTTTGGGAAACCCCCTTAAATCTTGACTGATGTTTACTAGTCTAGGTTGGAGCGGCTCGTGAATGAGGCCGTCTGCGGGACCCCAAAAGCTTTCATGTGAGGTAGGGTTCGTAGCGCCATAGGGCAAGGTTGTGGGTTCACAGGGTTTTGGGGAGGAATGTTGGGTTCTTCTTGTGTCTGTTTTGTGTGTGAGTGTGTGTTCCAGGGTCAGGGCTGTAGAGTTCAGGACTTTTCGTTAATTTCGCAGAGGAATGGGGGTATTTGACATTTGGTGCATTTGGGTGTTCTATATTGAGGGAAGAGATGATTTAGCAATTTTGGTTTGGTGAAGGCGTTCATGTCAGGCTTTACGTTCAGAGTTCGGGTTATATAAGATATGTATGTGCAGGGCCCTTTGTGTTTTCTCTCCACACGCGCGACATGGTTTTCCAGATAAGAAGTTGAGATTTTACCGAAGAGCAACAAGCAAGTGAGTGAGTCAAGAGGGGTGAGCCCATGCGGGGCAAGAACAACGCGCCCAGGGTGCTAAGTCCTCAGCAAATCCTCAACCCTAAACCCCTAAAGCCCCAAAACCCTAAACCTTAAGTCCTCATCAAACCCTCACAACCCAAACCGCTAAACCCTAAAGCCTAAACCCCTAGAACCCCAGACCTCTAAACCCCTAAACCCCTAAACTCTACACCCTGAACCCCTAAAGCCCCAAAACCCTACACCCTAAACCCTAAACCCCTGAAGCCCCAAACCCTAAACAGGGCTGCATGGCAGGCCCAGCCCTACGGCTTGACGCAGCTTCGGAAGAGGCGGGGCTGGGTAAAGAAAAGTAGGAGTTTAAGGCTTAAGTTCAGGGTTTCAGGGTTTAGGCTGTAGGCGTTTAGGGTTTAGGGGTTTAGGCTGCAGGGTTTAGGGTTTAGGGTGTTTAGGGGCCGTTAGGGTTTAGAGATCCTGAAGAGATTATGACGGCCTCCGAGTGGAAACGTATAAGTCCCCATGTTGGAAAGGCAAAGATGAAGTCCCTTCGACCTAGGGCCGAGTGTTCACGAACGCAATGGGCAGAATTGTCCCTGGCTCACAAGTAACTAGAACGCATTCCGGGCGCTGATGCAGAATTGCATGGTCGTCAAGATTTGTGTGTAAAAGGCTACATGTTACATGGTATTGTAGGTAGATCATAGGACCGCGATGCGCCAGCGTTAAACAAATGGGGTACCCCGAGGTCGAATAGAACAAGTCTAGGGCACCACTCTTCCTAAATACCGTTATGGACTCCCAAAGAGACCCTTGCAGTCCTTTATTCTAATCCCAACATTCCCAGCTGTTACGCCCTAAGTCCCTGCAACCCATGACTCCGTCTATTCAGCTCTATAAGGGGGTAACTGTCTACTTTCCCCCTTTACCAGCGTGCGTTGTGCCATGCTTCGCCTGTGCCGCCGGGGCTTGGCAACTCCTTCGAAACTGGAAGCCAGGGGAAGTGTGGATTACTTTTTGCAACTAGCATGTACAATCATCTTGTATCTCTATAGATATATAATTGCATGAGTATGTAGACACATGCAGCTATGTCATCGTACATGTAGCCGCCATGCACACCACCTCTTATGCATAACTACTGAAGACGACTATGGTTTAAGTTTGACGTGGCAGTTTCAAAGGCCATGCAGGGATTTTCCCGGAAAGATTGCATGAAGGAGCCGCGTATGTGGTTCCCATTCTCTTGTTGAGGGAGGTTCCGCTGTAGTTTTCTTATAACCTTGATATACCCTTAAGATCCCCAAGCGCCCCCACTGTTGAGACTCCCCTGAATTCGCCAGGTTGCAGCGGAGTTGGTCTTTCCGAAATGCAGCCCCGGGCTTTGCCAACTCGCTTGTGACGTACCCGCCCCAGCCTCTTGCCGCTGCGGCTTCAGTACTGGTCTTGATGTGCCGTGTTCGACACAGATGTCCATGTCTTCTCCATGATTCTGCGCCAGTTTCCCTTCCCATTGCCATTCTTGTACCCCGAACCCTAAACCCTAAACCCAGCTTCCACTTTTGTCAAGTCGCCCTTAACCAGACCAAGGCTTCCAGACGTCGTGTTGTTCCCTCCCAACCATATCATCACCGAACAGGCCGCCCTTTGTGTTGGCTCTCCCCTCTCGTTGTTTGGCTTAGGGTTTTGGGTTTACCTGAAAGTCGTTATAGTCAACTGGATCTCCAGGTTCTGGGACCCCCTAAACCCCAAACCCTAAACCCCCTATATTACCCCTATATATATATATACATACATAGACACACCCTATTCTAATGTAGTAGTTTCCATTTTCTTTCCCATTATCCCTATATCCCCTAAACCAATGGTGGTTGCTGGCGAAAGGGCGAAGAGTGCAAGCTCGGAAAGAGCGACTTCTACTTGGCCTGGGGCTCGGAGCTCCCTGTGCCTTGAAACTGCTTACAACCAAATAGCTTCCTACACCCTCCTCCTACCCTCTATTAGGGCCTAAGTACCCATTATTAGGGACCATATATCCCCAATTAAGGGTACAAGGAGGGTCCTGCTTGGCAGCTTTCAACCATGAAAAATGGAACAACTACAGGAATCTTCTATGCGATGTAGTGGTAGTTTCCATTTTTTATTCTCTGGTCTTTAAGCTTTAAATTAAATGGAAGCTATATGAGCTATAGTAAACCCTAAACCCTAAACCCCCAAACCCTAAACCCTGAACCCTAAAATCCTAAACCCTAAACCCTAAACCCTAAAACCCCATAATATTACGACATGTGGCAGCTTCGAGACATTTTGACGTGATGTGATGAGGTGCTCGCCGGCCGAGTGAGGGTGGAGGGAGCCGCCGCATTCTCAGCCGTTGTTTCGGTTTAGGGTTTAGGATTTAGGGTTTAGGGGTTAGGGGTTTAGGGTTTAGGGTTTAGGGTTTAGAGGGTTTAGGGTTAGAGGGTTTAGGGTTAGAGGGTGTGCAAGATGGTGCATAAGTTTCTGTGATGATGTGGAAGGGAAGTTGACCTCGGAATTGCAGTTTATAACCCCAAGATATGATGTATTACTTAGAGGTTTAGGGTTTAGGGTTTGGAGTTTAGGGTTTAGGGTTTAGGGTTGGGACCCTCGCCCAGTAATAGTGACTATAAGGCATAATAAGGATTATATTAGAGTCCTCTTATATTCCTACTACCACTATTACAGGGTGGGGTCCTCCTAATATATTACTGTATAGTAGTTTCCATGTTCTTTTCCATGATGCCTATAGTACTCTATGTTATCCCAATATCACCCGAATCTGAGACCCAGACAGGGATCCTTCGCGCTGCCGGTGAAGCCCTGGACTCTTGTAGAACCGAAATTTACATTCTTATGGATACCTTAAACCCTAAACCCCTAACCCGTAAACCCTAAGCCCCTAAACCCTAAACCCTAAGTTTAGATGTTTTTATTTGTATTTCAACAAGAACCCCGAAGCCGCGAGGTGGGTACCCACTTCAGCACTGTGGGGGCCGGCCAGGCTTCTTGACAGCTTTGAGAAAATCTGAGAGGCCTTTGCCATTTAATGGAGGGTTTAGGGTTGGGTATACATTGGGGTATATTGTAGGGTTATATTGAGATAATGGAAAAGAAAAGGGAAACTACTATTTAGGGTTTAGGGATCCATGATTAATAAACCCCCTCCTTTGAAGGGCCTTAATATTGGGATCCCTATTATAATCCCTACTAAGGGGAGGGGATTTACTAGTTAGGGGTTTACATTAGAGCCTTAACCCTAAACCAAAAACCCTAAGTAGAAGTTCCCATTTTAATTTCAAGTAAGCCAATGTACCCCACTAAGGGGAGGGGATTTACTAATCAGGGGTCTACATTAGACCTTTAATTCCTATGCCTGAATCCTGGTCCCCTACCCTTCCTTCCCCATCCCTAAACCCTCCTCCTTCATCCTCCAACAAGAATCCTGAACCCTATAAGCTGCTACACCCTTTAAACCCTGAAGCCTAAACCTTAAAGCCGAAATCCTAAACCCTAAACTATAGTGCTTTCCATTTTCTTTTCCATCATCCCTATAAAAGCCCAACATATTACCCTAAACCCTAAACCCGAGGTGTTTGGCGAAGTGGGCGCCTTCGGTCTGTCCAAGCGCCGCACGGCCAGCGCCCGGACTTGGGAGGCTGCCCTCTCAGCTGTTCCCATCTTTTTTCTGTAGCATATTGGGGTTACATAGGGTTAAGTAGGGTTTAGGGTTTAGGGTAGTATATTGGGCTTACATAGGTGCAGGGTTTAGGGTTTAGGGTAGTATATTGGGGTTATATAGGGTTTAAGGTTTAGGGTTTAGGGTAGTATATTGGAGTTATATAGGTTCAGGGTTTAGGGTTTAGGGTAGTATATTGGGGTTATATAGGGCTTTAATTGAGCTATCTGCTCCCTGATTCGAAGCTTTCGCATATAGTCCCCTTTAAGTAGATAGAATATGGCTTTGGGTATATTAGAATAAGATCCCCATGTGCTCCCACATTTTATCTACCTAAGGGGGACTCTAAATCCTGCAAATCTCAACATAGTCCTGATCAGATTTGCATATAACCAGCACTGCGTGCAAGAATCCCTAAACCCTAAACCCTGGAACCCCAAACCCTAAACCCTACACCCTAAACCCCAAACCCTTAACCCTAAACCTAAACCCCAAGCCCTAAACCCCAAACCCTAAACCCCAAACCCTAAACCCTAATTCTCAAAACAGCCTTATATCATCCTCACCTTGGCCCCGCAAAGCACCCCTCATAATCCTTACTAATGTCCTTTATTTTGAGAACCCTTGGACCCTAAACCCTGAAACCAATTCCCAAGCCCGAATTCCTAACCCTAAACCCTAAACCTGAAATCCTAAATCCTTCACCCCCTAAACCCTAAACCCTATACAACCCCAATTTACCATAGTAGTTTCCATTTT